TGTCCCACCTCCCTTATTGCTCCTTCTAGTAAGTTCCTGTGCCAAGTACAATGGATAGCCACAATGTCCATGTTACCATGGAAAATAAAGTCCATTGCCTCCGAACCTGTATAAGTCATTCAGTTTCATGAACACCCAATCAATCTTTAAAAAAGCATTTGGAACACTTGTTATTTAAAAGTCAAGTGGCAATAGAGAGGAGGGAATGAGGAGTTGTTATTTCATGGGTAGAGTTATACAGATGGATGGTAGTAGTGATAGTCACACAATACAAATTATTTAATATCACAAAACTGAATGGTTAACATGATTAAGATGATAAATTTTATATTATATGTTTTTATCACAATAAAAATTTTGGAAAAAAGTCAGGGCTGTTTTATTATATATCTTTGATAAAATAATTTGTACCTAATTAGAAAAGGAAAAGGAAAGTCCCAAAAGTTTACTTTATTTTACTGTATCTGATACTATGAAAGACACCGAAAGTATACTGGATATGAACTCTAAAAAGAGAAATCTGAAGTTACAAAAAGGGATTTTTGCAGGTAATTCACCCATGTGGCAACAGCACTATTTATCATTTCCTCTGTTTGCATCTGTTCGCTCAAAATGAAAGCACAACCTTCTGGACTCCCTGATTAGCCCCCAGAAAAGTAAGTTTCTATATCTACCACTTACTCTGCATCTTAATTAAACCATTAGCTACTATCTCAGTGCAGAGAGAAGTTTTCTCTTAGTTTTGTCTTCTCTAGCTCCTTTCATTCAAAGGTTTCTATCTGAATTTTTTTTTAATTCTCCTTTCCAAGAAAAGTCTAGTAAGTGAATAATAAATGCCAGAATCTGGGGTTTATAGATTAAATTTTTTCCTAAAATATTCCTTTTTTTCACTTGGTTTATAAAGATTTTTTATTTAAGTATAGTTAGTATTCAATATTATATTAGTTATATTAACTTCAGGTGTACAACATAGTTAATCAACATTTTTATATCTTACAATGTGACCACTCATTAATTCTAGTAATTATCTGTAACTGTCAATCAATCTTTATATCAAGTTACAATAAAATGTGTCAAGACATAGTGACAAATTTGAATCATCTCTGTCACAGTTTCTTGTCTTGCATAAACATCTCAGGAGTTTCAGGAAGTCTACCAAATTTCCTGCTTAGTATTCACAGCCCTGTGCTGGGGCCATTGCCCAGCCGTGACCCACCGGGGGAACTGCTCACAGCATTTGCACACCTACCATTGCTCAAGGCTGTGTTTCAACGTGCTCTGTTCAGTAACATTTTATGAGGGACAGGATTACAATTTCAATGTAATGATTTCAGCACTTCACAAAGCAAGGCAATTTGATTCCCCAAAAGCTTGCCCACAAACCTGGAGTCCTGAGTTTGATATCTAAAAACACTCCACAAGATTTTATGAGCAGAGGCCTAAAGTTTAAATACCTTCTATAGAAATAAATAAATAAAATGTATCAATTGTTTCACTATAAAAGACCCTTTTGCTTAGGGTGTTTTAGATTTTTTAAAGAAAATATTCTAATAAGTTAATAAATGTTTTGCAAAAGGTCCTTAAGACCATATGTATGTGTGACCAGTAAGTTATCTGATACCTCTGTTCCAGTTGCATCTTAACTTGAGGAAATTCTACACATGAATTTTAATTTCTCCATGTTCTGGACTTCCACATTGATTGTTGGAAGTTACTTTAAAAGACTCCAATAGCCTTTGTAGCTCTCCAGCTATTGTTGGAAAACAAGTTCATGCATAGGAAGTTTGTGGTCAGTCTGTACAAAAACATGCAAATAACCTTTCATATTAATTTGCTGATACTGTATTTAAGATAGTAGCCTGCACCATTCGAGTTGTCATAGGTATATTTTTTCTTGCCCTTAACAAGGGCAATTTCAGAATGAGCTTATGTTTTCATGAACCTGAAATTAAATATCAGTTATATTGTTCATGCACTCATACTCTTTTTTTTTAAATTGTTCAAGTACTCATACTCTTTAACTGAATTTGCTTGTCTAAAAAAGGGAAATAGCAATAAACCTCAGACTCATTTTATATATGCATCCCTATTTTAAATTTGGAGGACAAATGAGGCCAGTGATTAACATGATGGAATAAAATCTTGGACATCACTTAACCAGCTATATGACTTTTCCTATCTTTCTTTTTGCATTCCCTTTATTTATTTAAAGAAATCTTGAGCACCCTTATACATGAAGTCCAGTCTATAGGCCTAAAGCACATCAGTAAAAAAAAAAAAAAAACAGCAGAAAATTCTTGTCCTTTTATATTCTCTCATAGGGGGCACCAGGTAAAAGGTAAACATGACAAATAAACTAAAGATCAAGCTAAGCATTTGGGGGAGTGCTGGAAGGACACAGACTGCAATCTCAGTGGAGTTGGTCATAATGGGATCCACACAGAAACTGAGAACTGTGCAAAGGTTTGAAGGAGGTGAGGGTGTTGGCCAGTGGGCATATTGGGGTAAGACTATTCTAGAGGGAGGAGCCAGGGGAAATAATTGTGGACAGTAGTTTGCCTACTGTGTTCAAGGAATAGAATGCTGTTTACCTAGTAAGGGAAATGTCAATAAAAATTATTTCACTCAGTCTATTATCTGCTGAGCCTACAGTTATGCATTGAGTCATTCTTGATGATAATAAACTAATAAGTTCTCATAAATATTATTTTCTATTTGATTTACATGTTTACATTTAGCACACTTTAATGCATTTTAGTTTTCTCCCTTTTTTATTGTATTATTTTCATTGCCATTTAGCTCCCTTCTGTCCCACTCCCCTCTGAAGTCACTACACTGCTGTCCATGTTGATGAATCCTTTTAACTTTTTGCTTGATCCCTCTACCCACTAAACTCCCCCTCACAGCTGTCACCCTGCTCTCTATCTATTAGTCTGTCCCTATTTTGCTTGTTAGTTGAGTTTGTTCATTAGATTCCACATATGACTGAAATCATGTGGTATTTGTGTTTCTCTGACTGGCTTATTTCACTTAGTACAGTGTTCTCCAGGTCCATCCATACTGTAGCAAAGGGTAAAATCTTATTCTTTTTTATGGCCAAGTAGTACTCCATTGTGTAAATGTCCCATAGTTGTTTTATTCACTCATCTACTGATGGACACTTAGGCTGCTTCCATATCTTGGTGATTGTAAATAACAATGCAATAAACATAGGGGTGCTTATGTTTCTTCAAATTAGTGTTTTGGGTATCTTTGGATAAATTCCCAGAAGTTGAATCATTGGATCAGAAGGCAGATCCATTTTTAATTTTTTGAGTTATCTCCATAGTGCTTTCCACAGTGGCTACACCAGTCTGCATTCCCACCAACAGTGCAAAAGGGTTCCCCTTTCTCCACATCCTGGCCAGCACTTGTTGTTTGTTGATTTCATTGATGATGGCCATTCTGACAGGTGTGAGGTAATACCTCATTGTGGTTTTAATTTACATTTCTATATTAGTACACTGAGCATCTTTTTATACATCTGTTGGCCATCTGTATGTTTTCTTTGGAGAAGTATCTATTCAGGTCCTTTGCCCATTTTTAATTTGATTGTTTGGATTTTTGGTGTTGAGTTTTATAAGTTCTTCATAAATTTTGGATATTAAATTCATGTATGTATTGGGAAATATGTTCTCCCATTCTGTGGGTTGTCTTTTTATTTTGTTGATGTTTTCCTTTGCCATAAAAAAAAATTTTTTTCATTTGATATAGTCCCAATTGTTTATTTTTTGTCTCCCTTGCCTTAGGAAATATATCAGTAAAAATACTACTGCAAGCAATGTTTGAGATTTTTGTGCCAAGTTTTTTTCTAGGATTTTTATGGTTTCAGGTCTAATATTTAAGTCTTCAATCCATTTTTAATTTATTCTAGTGTGTGGTATAAGAAGATGGTCTAGTTTCATTTTTTATTATATTGTAAACTTATTCAAGATAAAGAATTGGTCCTATACTCACTGTTGTTCTTTGTATTGTTTTCTAGATATTTAGAGTCTGAGGCTTAAAGTCTCTAACTTTGTTTCATGAATCAAATCTTTTGTGAATCAAATCTTTGTTTCAGTGGTCAGAACTTTTGGTCTTTGCCTTAGTTTCCTAAAGTGCAATTAAAAACTAATTAATATGATATATGTGAAGCATTGTATAAATGTAAATGATAGCAAAATATGCTTCTTACTTGTATTACACAAACATATGCATAGGAAATAAGAGTTAAAATGCAGGGATCTGAACACAGTTCTTTAGGGGAAAAAATGCAGTTTAAAGAGTCCAGAGAAAATCAAAAGCCTTTACATGGTTTATCCAATGATGACATTCTGAGAGCTATTGACAAGGGTTTCCAGCTCTAGCAGCCAGTTTCTATCAGCTCAGCACTGGTCACCTGGATGGCACAGTTATGAGGCCCTTGGGAGAGTTTCACCTTCCACATGGTGCCATTTCATGCTTTTCTATTTCTAGAGTCATGTCTCTTATGACCCTTAACCTTGTCAACTTCCATTTGACTCTCCAGCCTGCAGTCCAATGACAAGCCCAGTCCATTAATAACGCACTTTCATAGTTCTAAGGTGCTGCATGGGCCCTTTACGTCAAGGCTCTCTGGTTTGTGTTCTGATCTCACTGTGAATAAACCTCAAAATTATTTTGTTTGGGATTTTCTAAACATTTTACTAATTCTAAAATGCCCAAAGAAATGTGAACAATTTTAGTAGACAGACATATTAAAATAAGTTTGTTGCAGTTTGATTCAGCGCCACCCATTCAATCAGGGTAAGTGGAGACGATATGGTGACACAAGTACGTTTTCTTGAGACTTACCACAGGCATCTGACCCTTCATTACCTCCCACTTTTAAAAGTATATTGACTATTCCTCAGGCACGCTATGTATTTAACTCTACTGTCAGGAAAATATGATTTGCTGCTATTGCAATAATATATTTAACACTTCTTGTTTTTTTCTTCAAGGTTGTAAAAATGATGATTATTGTCGTGGTGACATTTGCCATCTGCTGGCTGCCCTATCACATTTACTTCATCCTCACTGCAATCTATCAACAGCTAAACAGGTGGAAGTACATCCAGCAGGTCTACCTGGCCAGCTTTTGGCTGGCAATGAGTTCGACCATGTACAATCCCATCATCTACTGCTGTCTGAATAAGAGGTAAAAAAAATTACCAAATGCAAATTTCTTGTCACTCTTGGCTTCACTGGAAGCATATAATGTTGCTCCAGCTTCCTGGTACAAATTTGAGGTGCAAAAGGAAAGGAAAATTGAGAGATTCCCTAAGGAGCACAGAGCTGTGTATTTTTCTAGACTCTCCCCTACTTTATAAAATATCCCACTTTAACAATTACATCCTCAAAACAATGTTCTTAGAGGTTCTCACTGGGCAGTTTTTTTATGGGCCTTATTCTCCTTCCAAACCTTTCATAATTTTATCTGCCAAAGAAAAAGGAATGCCCTCAGGACTGCAGAAGATAAGTTGACAACATGCACAGGTCCTCAAAGAAATAAAAATACTTCACAGAAATGCACAGATGATGGCATTTGTGAGCGAGCTCTACTGAAAAGGATGATTTGTAAATAAGTTTCTAAATAGTTGTTGCTGTAAGTGTGATGGAAATAACAATAAAGGCAAGGGGAATTCCAGTTAGCCTTCCTTCATAATGAGATCAGTGAATAAAAGAGAACAGGCTGACAGTAACCAGAGAGGAGAGGGGAGGGAATTTCAGGCGGAAAGGGGAAGGGTTTGCAGGAACAAGTATAAAGGACACATAGACAAAAACAAGGGGGGAGTGGAAACAGGAGGGAGGTGGGGAAGGCCAGGATGGGAGTAAAAGGTAGAAAACTATACTTGAACAACAATTAAAATTAAAAACAAAAACAAACAAAAAAAACAAATAAAACTGTAGGCACACACACACACACACACAAAAGAGTATGAAGCCCCATGGAAATGGGGTGTGAAGAAGATGAGGTGGTCAGGGAAAATCTATTTTTAAAGTGAAGTTTCAAAAAAATAGGAATATTTACAGTTAAATTTGAGATTGGGAGAAAAGGTAAAAGGTGGTTTCCAGGTCAAAACCACCTTAGTTGTAAGGTCAGCTCATGGATGGGTAGGGTTAGTTTCACAGGGTTGCTCATTTCCTGACTGTGTTTCCAGCTACTCTGAGCACAAGCACAAACTTCATGTAACTGCATGAGCTTCCTTTCCAATTGGGCCTCTCCTGCACTGTGCCTTAAACTTATTAAGTACTTAATTCTTACTTTTTTAATTAATTGCATAAGCCATATATCAGTTCAAGCCACCTTCACAAACAGTACATTTGTTTTTAATCAACTTCATTTAATGGTCTACAAAGCCAAGGATTTTCTACTTTCTTACATGATTAAATAAAAACCATCAGGATTAGGGAGCATTTGTGATCTTGTTCCCTGACCTATATCATCAGTTTGGCTCAAATAAACTGCTATAAAAATTAAAAAAAAATCAAGTTTAGCAATTAATTCTAACATTAAGTAAAAATTTAATTTATAAATGTGTAATTATGCCTGGAAAAAAAACTGTTTTGAAATGTGTAATTTTTAAGTGCCTTACCTGGCAAGACTAATTCAATTACCCTTATGCAAATGTATAAAATTATTGAAGAAATGTACACTGTTCCTTTGGCATATTGACTACCTGATGCTATGTTTTTACTCTTTGATGACCCTTTCACTGACAGGAAATTAAGATTCAAAGCAAACAAGAAAAACTTTAAAGACTATTACAAATACTATGGCATACTAAACGTTTGACTAGAAAGTCAGTTTCAAAAACTAAGTTGGGTGAAATTCCTTAAGAAGGGCTTTCTGTGGAGGTTGAAAGAAATTTCCTCATGAAAACACAACTCTTTCTTCCTGTGGCCTACTTCTCCTCAGATTTCGAGCTGGCTTCAAGAGAGCATTTCGCTGGTGTCCTTTTATCAAAGTTTCTAGCTATGACGAGCTGGAGCTGAAGACCACCCGGTTTCACCCAACGCGGCAAAGCAGCCTGTACACTGTGACCAGAATGGAGTCCATGACAGTGGTGTTCGACCCCACTGACTCGGACAGCGCCCAGCCCGGTGGGAAGAAGAGAGCGAAGTCAAGAGACGCGAGCTTCCACAGCTGCTCCGGCAGGAATTCCAAGTCTGCCTCCACCACTTCAAGTTTCATCAGCTCCCCCTACACCTCCGTGGACGAGTATTCCTAAATCCGTTTCTGGAGGTGGGAGTGTAGAGGGAGGCCACCGTGGAGCCCGCCTGGGCCCTCCTTCTCCTCACCACGCGTCGGTCCTGTCCTGCACACTCTCCGGAAAGAGGAGGGCAATTTTTAGGCAGCTTTGCTGCGCTCGAGAAAGGTAGCACATAAACATAACAAAGACACTCTTAGGATATTTGCCTCCCTCAAAAATAAAATGGGCTTTAAACTTATCCCTTGAAAATTCTAGATTATCATACATAACAAACTTAAAAATACATCTGAAAAATACTTATAAAGTGTTTTGTTGTCCTCTTTTAAAAATTGCAATATAATTTGTGAAACTAAAGTCACATATGATTTTCCAAAATATTAAAGAAGCTTTAAAATACAATGTTGTGAATAAAAACAAAGTCTATAAAAAAATGAAACAATTTCATCTACATCTATAAACAAAAAAAATTAAGTCACTAATTTTCCCACTAGAATGATGGAAAAATAATCTCAAAGAGTAAAAATTAATGAAAATTTTTGCTTGAGAACTCATTTTGTAGAATCATTTAAAATTTTTTATTTAAAATTTTAGTATTTATAAGTCATCTCCTTGAAATGTAACTGAAAAGGAAATCTAGTCAAATTATTAAGCTGCTACATGTGGTTCTCTTTATTTATTTTTTCTGAGAAGTGACTTCAAAACAAAAAATAATAATAATTTACTCTTTGACTATTATATAAAGTGCCATGCTAAGAAATAGTCAAAGTTGGACCTTACGAAGATAAAGCAATTCCTATGACCTTCTTTATTTTATTTTTCATAAATATTTTTTAATTTTTTTAAATAGGTAGATTTTAAAAACACTAAACATGCCTTCTAATAAAGAAGAGAAAAATCCCATTTCTCTCTGAAACTGGCTACCAATTTTTAGGCAAGAATTAAAAATGCTAATGCACAGTTATGATGGCAAACATCTACCAGCTCCAAAGAAAGATATGTTTCTCCTCCATAACCCAAGGGAAATGTTGAAGGTGGACACCAGCCTCAAAAACATTATACAGACCTTTTCTTCTCCTCTCTCTCAACTGAAGAAAAGAGTAAGCACTAGGGGAAAATATCAGAAAATATATTTAAAACCAAGTCCTTAGGAACAAAAACTCTAGGTACTGCCTATATGTCATAATATGCATATAAGTAAATCAAGCAAGATGTAGGAAGGTGAATCAAGTACAGTGGTACCTCGGTACTAGTTGTTAATTCGTTCTGGAATTTGTGACGAGTGCCGAAACTGGCAGGTATTGAACAAATGTTCAAGCGAGGAGTGATGAAGCATCTTCTCTTGAGGGGTGGTGTAGTGACTCATTCAACTTCTAGCAAGGGCCAAGAGTCCTGAGCAGACCCCAAGTACCAAAACATTTTTTTTCTCATCAAAGTGGGATGAGTACAGGGTTTGATGAGTTCTGAATCCAAGTGAGTACTGAGGTATGACTGTATTACAATAGAAAGCTGGACAGTATTTTGGATACATGTTAACTAATACACACCTGCCCACAGAGAGAGCCTTCTTCTTGTTTGGTTAGGTATTTCAGAAGTCCTCCCCCAACCCTCCCCCCAAAATGAGCTAATGGCCCTAAAGAAACATCTGTTTCAAAATAAACTGACACACTTCTGGGAGCCATAACAAAACGAGGTATGCTATTAAGTGTAGAATTTATCTTTCAGACATCAGTGCATATGAATCATCTTTCTCTGAATTAGAGATACTGCCAATTCTGCTCGGAAAAGCAGAAACTTTCTGAGAATGCAGATATGTAGCACAGGCTTCTTTAAAATATTCAGTTGGACTTTGAAAGCTATCCAGCTGAACTAATTACCTGTAACACTTTACAGGATTGTTATCCCTCTACCAATATAGAACCGACTATTTGTTTTTGAAGAACAAGATAAAAGCAATTATTCAAGAGCAAATCATGGTCTTTTGCTGTCAAGACCTCAAAGTTTCCAATCCTCTTTATTTTGGACCCAAAGCCAGAAATATCTAATTTTAACAAAGTGTTAAAAGTCTAAACAACCCCACCATATGTATTTAAGCTGAATTTCTTCTGATTACACGAATAAGCACATATTCAAAGAAGTAAATTCAAAACTGAATGCTGAAATAGTAAACAGTCATTACAGAGTTGCCATAATAGCTCAGTAAACTCTACAACACATGTGTGCATGCTTTATTTAGATAAACAAATGTATTATTTTTGGCATCTAATTGTTGAATATAATGTTGTTAAATGTTCACTCAAAAAATGTAAATGCTTGTCATACAATGTGAAAGTGTCAATAAAAAGCCTAATATTTTAAAGTAAACATTATCTTCTCAAATTTACAAACAACACTAATGAGTCTTCTGCATGCATGGGGCCATATTCAGCTGTAGAACACAAACGTGAAGTTGGCCCTCACATTCAGTGCAGTCAGCCGCCAATAAAATACGTCCAAACAGCAACTCTCGGCCTTCACACAGGTTAAGGAAATTCCGTATAATTTTAGTATAATTTGCTAAAACATCTAAGGAAAAATTTCTCCAATCCACTGTTTTGTTTGCTTTCTTCTCTTTCTTTTTCTTTTAAAGTAGATTCATTGTTTTACTTACTAAGTATCATCTTTCTTGCATGACAAAAATACCTGAGGCCAGACAGTACCTTTTTAATATATTTGAGGGAAGGCAGACATCACTCACTCAACACTCGTGACTCTTAAACTAAGACTAATAAAACAGAATGTAAGCTCAATATTTGAAAAATAATCACAATAAAATAAATGAATACAATATGAAAGAGATAAGATTTTACCCCTTTTGTACAAATTTTGTCACCGAGAATTATAGAATACTACACACGAAAACTCAGCTTCAGTAGCTCTCAGTTTAAGTAAAGCTATGCCAGAGTTTTCCTATTTGTCAGGGTTTGGAAAAATTACCATCCAAAATTCATCCTACCTTCTGACGTTAATGTCACTGTGAATCTTTTTTATTGTTCACAGGCAAACAGTGACCAGAAATACTATACAGATAGTTAAAATCTTCCAGGATTTTTTGGATTTAGATCAGCAGAAGAAAAATATACACAATTTTGAGAGAAATCTAAAAGAATCAAAAAAGACTTGCATCATTTTAAATATTCTCTTTTTGAAAGACAAAAATGAACAAATAGTAAACATTGTTATTTTTAGTATTCTGTGTCTGGACAAAGTGTTTTCAAAATTACCTGCATGGGAAAAATTAGAGCAGACATAAGTATTATAACATCCTATCTAACATCACCTGGTTTTTAGCTAACTCACTGTGGTGCTGCATTATTCATCCCTCAACTTCATGACCACAGTGACCAGCAGCCACTTTCACACTGTTTTCCAGATCCTGCCAATCTCTTAGAAACAGAGACTCTCCCAACTTCAAAGTGAACTTGACCCTTACAAAGCACACAGGAGAATGCTAAGAAGCTTAGTATCATACCTCAGACGCACAAAATAAATATGAAAAAGCAATGCTGGCCATCTCATGATTTGAATTTGATTTTTCTTACTTCAAGATTTCATCAGAACTTCTGATTAGTGTCTGATGTTCTTCCATCAACTACAAAGGCAAGAGAGTTACAACAATTGCTCGCACTTTTAACAGTAACATTTTGAGCTCCCACTCTTTGATAACGTGCCAGAAGTTAGGGAAATCAAGCATGAAACTAGCTATGTAGAATAATAAGGTTATGATAATGTCCCTTAGGGCTGCACAGGAATGTAGAATAACACCCAGTAGTTCTGTACAACGTCAGGAATTATGTGTTGTAAAATATCTTGGTGAAAGTTCTTTGTATATAAGAAATAAATGTACATAAAGTTCGTAGCTAGTGAATAAAATATTTTCAAGTTGTGGTAATTCTGAACAGGTTTAATACATTCATACCCTTTGTTTATGTGATACATGTGCCAGATTCCTTTCTTTTTTCTTTAATAAAAGCATTAAAAATAATATTAAAAGTAAAAGGATTTCTAGTATTTTCCTACTGGCTAGCAAGACATATGTCATGGAGAGTCTATCGCGTCTAGATGCACTCACTCAACCATCCTTCAAGATGATTGTGCTTTCTTCTTTATTTTTTTCTCATAAAAATGTCTAATTTTTTAAATTACTTTGATTTGAAAAAAGCATCTATGTAGAGCAAAGCTATCAAAATGTAGGAAAATGTTTTGTGCAGAGAGCAGGAGCAGGTGAGTTGGAAAGCAGACCAAGGGTGCTTGGAGTCGCGCACAGAGCGCAGCACTTTGGAGCTGTGGCATCGGGGCCACGTCCACCCGCAGACTTGAGTTTACATCCAAGCCCCACCACCCGCCAGCTGGGAGTCCTGGGGCAGGTGACTCTCTGATCTGAGCCTCTTTTAACTTACCAATAAAGAAGAGAAAATAATAGTTTCTTCAAAGTGCTGATGTAAGGAATGAATGCTCTAATGCATAAATGTTAACCAAACATTAAATAAATGTCCAAAAACATCATTAGTATCACTGTGTGCATGGGGAGAACATTAGAGAAACCCTTCCCATTCTGCCCACATCCAGAGCTCTTTGAGGTGCACATGTAGCATGACAGCGTGTGATCACTGAGCTCTGGGCTATTTTCAGAGGCCCCGCGAGATCTCATGGATTGTGTGTCAGTATTATGGGAATTTGCCCTCTGGCCCTGGGCCCTGAGTTAAGAAAGCTGTACAGGTGAAGCATTAGAAATAGCCAATTCATAGAAGGAATGGCTTTGGACATGTGAAACTAAGCATACTTCTTAAGAAAGGTACAGCCATTTTAGGTTAAAAATAAGGAAATAACACATGAGATCGGGAAAGCAGATTTTTTTTTCTTTTCCAGTTCTCTTGGCAGCATCACTGACTGCTTTCTCAGTGCCTCCTCCCTGAGCTCTGAGGAAGAGTGCACAGGGACAATCCATGTAAGCTGGCAGCAGAGATCCACACTGTCTATCTATTTCCAGCAAGGACATCTTTCTTTCTTTTTCTTTCTTTCTTTCTTTCTTTCTTTCTTTCTTTCTTTCTTTCTTTCTTTCCTTTCTTTCCTTTCTTTCCTTTCTTTCCTTTCTTTCTTTCTTTCTTTCTTTTTATTGATTTTAGAGAGAGAGAAGTGAAGGGAGAGAGACAGAGAGAAAAAGGGAGAGAGACACTAATTTGTTGTTCCTCCTATCCATGCATTCATTGGTTGATTCTTGTATGTGTCCTGACTGGGGA